TTGTCCTATCAGTGCTTACCTGGGAGAAGAGGCCAATGACCCCCACCTCACTACTCAAAGTACGGCCTCACCAGTGCTGAGTAAAGTGGAGTCGTGTTTCCTCATGCTTCACAGCTGAGTCTATTTTTGAGGTTGAACCAGCAGCTGAAGGCAGTTCAAAAGCACAAGAGGTTGATTGGAACAGTGTGATCACTGTCAACATCCAAGTGGTCTCTAGAAAAAAAAAAAAAAAAAAAACAACCAACAATTAAAGAAGGGAAAGATCCTGCTCACTGAAGCCATAGCAGTGAGAAGTTCACCTCATGGCATCCTCAGTAGCTGAGAACCAGAGGATTAAGGCTTTCAGGATGACAACTAAGGTATCTAGAGAAATAAGATGGCATCACAGAAGCAGTCCATGCAAGGACTAATGCCATTTTCTGTGCAGATGCAGAAAATGGAAACCTATGTTAAAAATAAATAAATAAATAAATAAATCTTGCTGAGCTAAAATGCCTTCTGATTTCTTCTGAGAGAAGAAAGCTGCAGCAGGAACTGTTTATATTTCAAATACATTTAGTGGGAACATAGTAAGCTCTACGTTTTCTAACCTGCAGATGGCACTCACTTCCCACCAAGTAATCCACTGCAAAGGACACTAAGTTACAGCAACAGTATTGCACAATTCATTTCTAATTTCAAAGGGCATTAAATAGTTCCAGGTTCTCAACTCTGTTTGCTCTGTATGAATCTGGAGAATCCTTCTCCCAGAGGGGCCCTGCAAAATGGATTGCACAGGACGGAGGATGGTCACAGCACTGCACAACTTCATCCTTCCACTCAGCGCTGGCACTGCTTCAGCTGAAGTGTTTCTTCCAGTTTTGGGCAAAACATGGAAGGTCCTGCTCTGAAGACATGGGCCACTAGGAGCCTTGAGAAGCAAAGACTGTAAATGGAGTACTGGGAAGTTTGGCCATGAGGAAACATTAAACAGCTTAACCTGAAAAAATAAAAAGAGAATGGGAACAGGATAGCAGTCTTCAGATACACAGATAACTCAGGGAGTGAGAAAAACAGCAGTTTGTATTTCATGTGCACGGCAGACAACATTAAAAATAACAGTCTAAACTTACGGAAGGAAGAATCATGTTTGCTACAACAGAAGGTAGTGGTAAGGCTAATGCTGTACTGAGTGAGATTCCCTGAGGAATCTCTACCTTTGAATGTTAAACGCACACAGCCAACAGGAGTGACGTATTTAACATGGCTTGCCTGTTAGTGTATAAACTGTGTAACTGAAGCATTTTTCATCTGTTATCTGATCGACACTGGAGTTGCTGGAATCAGAAAACACGGCTTTTCAAAACATATTCAAAAAGAATTTTAAAAAGTCACATCTCAGAAATCCAGATGAACCAGCTCATGTTTTGATGATCGCACATTCCTAGTCTTCTACTGGCTGCCACAGATAGTGCTTTTCACTGCATCCAGATGTGCCTCTTTTAATCAGAGCCCCTCTGAAATCCATCCTTACTGCCTAGTCTGTAGTGGAAGTAAGTTAACACCTTGACTTGGTGATAAAACTAAGTGAAATGCTGGTGGAATACTGGCGGACAACAACGTCCATAGCAGCAGCTCCTCTCACCCTCAGAACTTCACTCACATTTCCTGCTGAAATCTAAGCACTTGACATTGTAATGTAATATCTCCAATAAGAAAACAACTGTTCATACAACAAAAGTTTCCCATACGGACACCTTATTTTGTTCAATTACTACCTGTTCCTTTGAAATTAAAATTCCTTTATGCTGCTGCTGTTAGCCCTTCCCTGGCACCAGCTGGGTCGTTCTGAAGTTACTTTGCCTCTCCCTACTGCGTACAGCAACCTTCCGAAAATACAGCTGGGAGCAGCTGAGGACCCAACCAAAACTGCCATAGAACCTGTGAGCAGAAAGCAGTAAACAGGTATTCTCTAGACATAATTTCCTTTCCAAGTTTAGCCATCATTTTTGTCTTACCAGAATTAATTTCACCAACAAATCTTTATTTACATAAGCAAAGTCTCTCAGAAAGAATGGATGACAGCGGCACTTAAATCTGTAAATGATCAGTGGAAACTCCATTTATTAAAGAGATTGTACAGATAGTAAACTGTGCTGTAAGCTTCTTGTGAAGAGTTTTTATGATGTATCACTTGTGCTTCATGGTTTTATAAGAGTTTTTTTTTTTTTTTTCCTTTTGCTGCCAGATCTCAAAGAAGAGATTATCTGTGTTTAGAGAATTCATTCTCTGTACTTCTTTCAGTTAAAGAGCACAAGTGGGTAGGAATTTGAATTTAATTCTGTAGTTAGATAGATGGCTTTCTCTTTTAAGGATTGTTCCCAGTGCCTCCAAGTCTTGCATGTTCTCATTTCAAGCTCTTCCCATATTAAAAATGTGTGAAATTGATCATATTTTATAACAAAACATATGTAAGTTCATATAAACCTGTCCTTCTTACACTCTTAGAGTAGTCTTTGTACACAGCTCCCATATGGCATCTTAACTATAAAGCTTTTTATTCTAGAAGACTGGTGATTCCAACCATGTTTTTTTGAAACTGTATTTAAAACAGCTTCCTGACCTTTACGTTATTCTAAACCAGTAGTTAAGTGGGTTTTCCTACAAAGAACATTGCAACATGGTGCAAATTACAAGAACAGTAAGATTCCTACAACACAAAAAGAAGAAAGCAGTTATGTACAGACAGTTACATGGACAACAGAGGCCAGGCCCAGGCACCAATATACTTATAATACAATGTATAATACATAAAAAACATATTGCATGCATACATGCACATTCACATTTTTGCTTTTTCCTTTTTTTTTTTTTTTGCCTTTTGCCTTTTGCCTTTCCTTTTTGCCTTAAAGAACACCCTGTAGAAGAACATTTCCGAGTATATATTTTAATGCAGATAATTTTCTTCTTCACAAGAAGTGTGGTAGGATTTTGTTTTGTTTTGTTTTATGTGGGTTTTTGCTTGTTTGTTTGTTTGTTTGTTTGCTTACTTTCTTTGACTGCTGGGTTTAGAAATGAATAATAATTTGTTAGGGCCCCAAACTGCTTTTTCTAAGCCCTGCTCAGATAGAAACCAGCAAAACCTTCCTGAAGTAGAATATCTGTCCTAAAAGCTATACCTGCTACTCTGAATCCAACTGAGCTCTTGCTTTGCCCTGTTCAGAAACCTCCACGTTTGGTTGGATTAATTATTTGAAATCCAGATGCTTTTCCAAGAAACTCAGAATCTCTGCCAAGCACTGAAGAGGCACTTGGTCCTGTACATCGAGCTCTGCCCACAGCCCTCTTCTGTCTCAGGAAGGACAGATGCCACAGACTGATGTCATCTTGCAACCTTCTCAAAGCCTCTCTCAGAAGTTGCATGTACCCACAAAACCACCACTACTTAGAAATGGAATTTCCAAGAATCTGGGATTAAAGCCTCACCTCAGCATATCACCTTTATGCCAGGTTGGTGGAGCGAAACTGCTGCAAATGTCTTTTCATTGGCTTCCCAGGGAATGCCAGCAAGAACCTCTCATTTGGCATACATCAATAAATTGCAATAAAAAATAATCTCCAAATACATAAGCTGTAAACATTAAGAAATTTGGTTTCACTCTATGATTTTGACCAGATCACTTCAAACTGTCTGCTTTCCCCAGTTAGTAATGATCCATCCTTACTGGATATACTGTCTGTGAATTAACAAATGCACATACGCAGCAACTCTCTGCTACAGGTATTGCTGCAAATGGGAAACAAACTAAACAGTGCAGAGTAGAACCAATGGTAACTATCCCAATGCTTTGTAATAGCTGCATGATTTTCTCTCTTAAAAACCAAAGGAACTGAAAAGACAGCTTTTGCATTAAGCTTCTAAGTGTGTGTGTAAGGGAGGCAGTTCTGGTATTTTAGGCTCTTCTGGTACTTCTTTTTGGCTTACCATATTATTTTAGATAACATGCCATTACCCAGAGCAGCCTTCAGACATTCAATTAGCTCAGTGAGCCATTTCACAGAGTGCACACTGAGTTAACAGGGTGCTATTTACATATATATATATATTTTCTTTTGGCTTACAGTGCTCTCATTAAACTTGTAATGCATGTTCTTCCTAACATCAAGTAAACCTTACATAAACGCTGCCATGTTTTCAGTTTGCCACAAATGTATATAATGTACTGCACTTCTAACTTACGACCTACACACAGCATCCAATGTTTCTTTTATATTCATGACCTGCACGCTTGCACAGCACAACCTCAGATATCAAGAATACAGGAATCTATTGGACTGTTTGTCCCAGCCTGTACAGATGCATGGAGTTAGTCAATCATAGGTAGCAGGCTTGAATTTTTCATAGAATCATAGAATGGCCTGGGTTGAAAAGGACCACAATGATCATCCAGTTTCAAACCCCCTGCTGTGTGCAGGGTCGCCAACCACCAGACCAGGCTGCCCAGAGCCACATCCAGCCTGGCCTTGGATGCCTCCCGGGATGGGGCATCCACAACCTCCTTCCAGCTGGGACTTCTTTTATTCTAACCTGGAGATTAGAAGACCAACTAACAGACCTGCCAGAATGTCAGGCTGTGGAAATAGCAGTAATGACAATCCTATCCAAACCACACCTTAAAGCACTATTTCACTCAGAAACAGCTATGATAAACCAATATCATTATTGGAAAAAAAAAACAACAAACAAAGCCAGCTGGTTTGTTTTTGCTTTGGTTATTGCAGAAAGCTCATTTTCCTCCTCTTTTTTTTTCCTACAGGAATCAATATTTGCAGTCCTATCTGAGGTACCGCAAATGTTAATCTTCTGTCTATCGACTGCGAGACAAGCGATGTGCCTCAGAGATTCAAACGCGATGAATTTATTCACTTGAACTTTAATTCAAAGTCCTTCCTCACTCTGCTGCAACACGACCGCTCCGCAGAGGCCGGGCGGGGCCGGGCCTGACAGGCTCCCGCCCCTCCCCGCCACGCCGTCTTCCGCGCGGCGGTCGGGGCATCATGGCGGCTGCCCTGCTGGATGTGGCGCACTGGAGCACCTGGGCGGTGTGCGCCGTCATCAAGCTGCCGCAGCTGGCGGCCGTGCTGGCGGCAGGGTCGGCGCGGGGGCTCAGTTTGGGCAGCCTCGTGCTGGAGCTGGTGGGGTAAGGCGGCTGTGCCGGGCTATGGGAACGACAGCAGGAGGGGGAAGTGCGTTAAGCTAACAGAGGGGAGATTTGGGTTGGCTGTTGAGGGGAAGTGCTTTGCTCACAGGGCGGTGAGGCCCTGGCACGGCTGCCCAGAGAGCTGTGGGTGCCCCAGCCCTGCAGGCACTCAGTGCCGGGTTGGCTGGGCACTGGGCAGCCCGAGCTGGTGGGCAGCCCATGGCAGGGGGTGGGTGGGCTGTGAGGTCCCTTCCAACCCAACCATCCTGTGATCCTGTGGTACTTGGGTTCTCCTTGGTGCATGTGCTGGTTGTGCACGTACCTGTACCAGTCAGACAGGATTCTGTCACCCATGCAGACAGAACATAATCAGTCCTTCAGAAGATTACAGGCTTTTTCAAACTGTGTTAAGGACAAAAGTATTTTGAAGGGGTTTCAGTGATGCTGTTTTGAAAGATTTATGGGGATTGTTTATTTAGTAGCACTCTTCATCCTGCAACCCAGAGTGGGTCCTGCCACTGAGAGCTTTCTGTCCTCAGGTTCTGGGGTGGTTCTGCAGAGCCAGAACAGTGACCAGACTGAGAGCAACGTGAAGAATGATGATGGTGGAAAGGGGTTTATCTGAGTTCACAACAAATAAGGCTTAGAGGAAGTTCTTGACAGAATTTAGCTGTTTTGATCCTGAATATTGCAAAAGACTATTACCTACTTTCATCTAAACAGGAGCTACAGGAAAGAAAGGGGCAGACCCTTCAGCAGGATCTGTGGTTATAGAACAAGGAGAAATGGGTTCAAGCTCAGAGAGGCCAGATTTAGGTTACATGTAAGGAAAAAGTATTTTGCAGTGAGGATGGTGAAGCACTGAAACAGTTTGTCTAGAGATGTGATTGATGCCCCGTCCCTGGAGACTGTCAAGGTGAGGTTGGATCAGGCCCTGGACAACCTGATCTAGCTGTGGTGTCCCTGTTCATCGCAGGGGAGTTGGACGAGATGGCCCTCAGAAGTCCCTTCCAACTCTGAGAACTCTGATTCCACCAGGCAGGAAGTTCCTTACGCCATCTTTGTATGCTGCAAACCACCATTTTTTCTCCACCAGTCTTTCTCTGCAGACTCTGCAGCTTGGAAATTTCTCTCAGACTTTGTGGACTTGCATGATGATTGAAGAAAGTAAGGAATGTGTGATTACAGCATCCTTTTAGATATTCTGTTGTGGAGCAGCAGGAAGATTTGCCATTGCTTGGTGTACTTAAGGACAGACTCTCAGCTGACTATTCAGCTACATGGGGCAATCTTATACCGGTGTAGTCTGGATGGGTTGGAAGGCATTTTTTACTCCTGTAAGATGAGTTTAATTTACAAATGGAACTACAGACGTAAATAAATCAGAGTTATCACAGAGGTGCAGATAATTGAAAAGAGAAGATAGCTTCAAGGTCTAGAAGCCCATATTTTTTTCTCACTAGCTGCAATTAATGAAATTATGCCTTTCACACCGTGACACAGAAGTATGTCAAGAAGCTGCCTGCATCTTACTCTACTTGTGGATAACAACAATGGGCTATGGAATAATCAGGCTTGCACTTGGTGTGCATGTCTGTTAGATCAATTTGAAAGCAGGGACTATGCCTATTCAGATCCTTTTGGCACAACCAAAAGATAACTAAAAACAACAACAACAAAAAAAAAGTAGTGAAGGAGCTGTTGTGTCCCCTTGTGCAGTCATGCTGTTTTATGTCTTTCTGCCCAGCTTCGTTGTGTTTCTGAGATACCAGATTTATTATGATTACCCTCTGCAGTCATACCTGGAATATCCCATCATCATTGCACAAGGTAATCTTTTTGAAGCAGGGGTTTGGAAATAAGACAGGGCTCCCCCAGTAAGCCAAGGCTCTGCATGGGGGTAGAATACTCCACTGCAGTAACAGGAATCCATTGACCAGTTCTAGCTGGAGTTGGGAGGAAATGGGAATGAATAGCTCAAATGTAGTTGAATTCTTGTATGTCTGATGAAAGTAGATGGTCAGGTAGAGAAGGCAGTGGAGTTGCAGTGTAAGCTTATCCTTTATTACAGTTACTCCATATCGGAGAGGAACCTTATAAATGCTCCAGCCTCTGAGAAAAGCTTCCTTTTGGAGCTTGCAGTGTTTTGGACATTGATTGAATTTGAGAGACAAACCTATAAGAAATGAGGCCGTAGACATGGTGCCCAGTGGAGCTCTTTTTCTAGAATTGCATTTGGGCCCTTTCTTTCCTTTGGCTGACAAGCAATCTTTTATTTATTTCAGATGTCATTCTCCTTTTGCTTATTCTGCATTTCAGTGGAAACATGAAACAAGCTTTGCTTTATGCAGTCACGTATCCTTTGCAATCCAGCAGTTTTGGTTTACGTTGCTTGTTTGGTAGTTTTTTGCATAGTTATGTCATCATTTGTTTTGTGCTCATATTTGTTTTGCAAGTCATTCAGCCAGCTGCCTCTCAGCATGCATTCCACATTCACATGTTATTTCTTGGGGTGCAGTAACATCTCTGTGTGAAGGCAGCCATGCATGTAGCTAAGGCCCACAGCTGATAAGGAGTACGACCTGTTCTTAATATACATCTTAGCTAGAGATGCAGGGTGCAAATGGTGAACCTTCTTTGATTCCTATCCGTGTTGACTGTACTTGTTCCAAGGAGGACGGTAGTGTTTTTAAATAATGCATAAGATTTAGGCTTAAATCTCATCTTATGCATTAGAGCAGATCTTCAGAAACTCAGGCACTCTTCAACCAAAGACTGCAATACAGGAGCACTTAGTGCTTCTATAGTGCTTCTTATGTTTTATCCAGATTGTATAGTCTTATAAAACTTATTTCTAGATGCTAAATTTAATTCCCTAGAGAGAGCTTTGGTATCCTAGAACATTCATTGCTATGAAACTTAACATGCTGTAAGGTTCTGGGGAGGCTGGTACATGCTAACGCTGCGGAGGTGGATCATAGACCTGGCCATGGTAAGTGCTGCGTGATTATTTGAAATTATGTCCACATAGGAAATTATCTTTTTCTGGAAATCTTTATCATTGAAATCTCTACTTATATTTGTTCTTGGAAGAATTCATCACTTAGTCTCACTTTCAGAAAAACCAATTTTCAAGTGCAGTTATTTCTTTCACTTTCATGAGTGGCTTCAAAATGTAACACTTAAAATACAGACTATAGGAAAAGAATTATTTTCTGAGGTAGAATTATGTTGATTGTGGTGAGATGAGTGTTAGATCTGCTGGTGTGACCTTGTCACTGAGTCACATTAAAACTAGCAAGGAAGGCTGAATGGAGCTGGTCTCTTCAGTCCCAATGCCATCATCCCTGTTAGTAGATCTTTAATGCGAGAAAGAAAGAACAGAGCATCAGTCAAAGCTTTTGTAGTGTGGTGTTATGTATTTCACAATATATATTTTTTTATTTAGTCCTAGAGTTTTTAAAGAAGAGTTCTCAGTGTAGGTTAAAGATGGTCCTTGACCTTTTTATGTTGGAGTGGAGAAAGTTAAGAGTTTATTCCAGGTGGACTGGAATTGCGGATGTAAAAAATAGTACAGATAGGGATAAAAGCTTCTAAGCCCAATAGCAGTGCTTCCTTGCAAGGGAAATCCAAGCAAGGCCCAAGAGTCCACACGGAGGGTCTTTGCAAAATCCTCCTTAGAAGGACAACAGGTTGAATAGTCCTTTCCCTTCATTAGTTTTCTCCCAGCTATTGGACTCAGTTTCCACACATTCTTCTCAGTTTTCTCATTCTTTTATGGTTTTGTTTTGCCAGACATAATGGTAACAGATGGTATGAATCAACCTTACTGTTTAGACTAGATCAGTCTCATTTTAGCTAACATCCCTAAACAGTTTTATGGAGCAGGTTGAGGAGCTTTTTTATTTCTTTAGCTCCTATTATATCATCCTCTGCCAAGTATTTGCCAACAGCAATAGCATCTGTGCTCCCTGAACTTCTTCCTGAGCAGTACCTTAGAAACCAGAGCCTTGTTTCTGACAACTTTAATTTTGTGCTTCGTGGTTCCTTGCTAAGGAGATGTAATTCTTAGGTTGCGAATTAGTTAGAAAGTACGTACTTTTTTCTCTTCTACATGAAAAATCTGCTCTTGTTTTTAGTAAGGTGCGTGCTAACAGCCGTATGCTAAACACTTGGCTAACAACATGGCAGCAGCAGAGCTTCCTTCTCTTTCTCTGTGCTTTACAGAACTTGTGCACGCTCATCAGTGCAGCGAGTAAGCTCGCTCAGCTGCAGTGCCTGTGGCAGACCAAAGATTCCGGACAAGTGAGCGCCTTGACCTGGAGCTTGTCTGCGTACACCTGTGCAAGTAAGCCATGGAGGGCTCATTGTATGAAGCTGTGTCTGCTCCTAATCCCATCAGTAGGTCTTTAGTCAACCATAGATAAAAATCTTGCCTCGTGCAGTTTCACTTAGTGCTGCATGCTGAGGCACACGGTCAGTCAAGTGTTCACATGCATGCTGACACCAGCTCTGTCACCATGCCACTTTGATTTAGGAAATGTGCAAGAATAATTAATGGAACCTGATGCAGATAAAGTGATTGAAGGGAGTGCCTTTATAAGAAAAAGATTTTGGTGTTCTGGCACCTAGGAATTGATCAGCAGTGACCCAGCATGAAAAGGTGCTACGTTTTGCTGTTACGTAAACAAAGAGTGCTAATTCTGAAAAGCCATTTACAAATATATGCTTTAATGCTGAACACCTTTAACTCCATGTCTAAATGTAATTGCTTCATTCAATAAAGAAAAACAAAAAATGCATCAAGAAAGCTGAACAGCCACCATGAACAGCTGTTTATTAGAAGTGCCCTCACAAAACTTGTATATCCGAGCTATAAAACATACTGCTCCTGGATCTGTTTACCTGTGAAACCAATGATGTTTAAGTCAGTCAGTAGAAGTTGTAGTCTGTCAGTTGAGCAGTGGCAGTAGTCTTTATAAATGGTTTTAGCCTCCTGCAAATGCAAAGTATTTAATGTTTAGATTTGTCGTGGGAAGGGAAGCTTAATTGCTCATATTTGCAGAGACCTAAAAGCATGCATGTGAACACTTACAATGGCTTAGTCATACTAATGATTGTGGGTGTAACCCACTATCAACTGCAGCAGGAGGGGATGAACTGAAGAAGCAGTGACCTCTGACCACCTCCAGTTCAGGGAAGTAGAGATAATCAGAATTTTTATACCACAATCAGTGACTTTCCAATTAAAGCAAGGCCTCTACTACAGTGCCATTCAGCTTTGAGAGCTTGATAGCTGAGGATAAAACAGTGAGGAGTGGATGCACTGAAAGTGGAAGTGTTTATACAATGTGTATTCTCATGCCAGGATATCCTCTGTTGCAAAACACAGACTTCTGCAGTGTTTGGAAGTTGTAAGCGTGTTCTATCTCATCCACTAATAACAATCCCTTCAATTTACAGCAAGAATATTTACAACTGTAATGACTACAAATGATCTGATAGGTGAGTATGGGAGTGGCTTGCTTTTCCAGGGAACAGCAGGCAGCTGCCTTGGTAGATTTTAACTGTATCATAAAAGCTTAAAATATATAATTTGCATCTGATTTAATTATGAAGAAAATTTGTCTAACAGCTTTTTACCATCCTATGAAAAAGATTGATGCTGACAAAACTGAAAGATCTAAAGGGTACAGCACATATTATCAATATGTGGTTCAAAATCAAGAGCTGGTAGATGTAAGAACAACAACAAAATCATGTGGTACTTTATGTATTGAATCTTTGTTCCAATTCAGAGCTGACGCTCCAGCAGAAACAAGAGTTGGGTGGATTTGTAAAGCAGCCCTCTGCAGCCTAGTTTTACAAGCAGTTAAAGTGTCTCTTCCACAGGAAAAGGAAATGCCCTTTTCAGTTCCTTATTCCTTCCCCACCCCACTTGCTTACTGCCTGGGTAGGAGTTGGTGGGGCCATGCAGTTTGCAGGATCACCAAAAGAACGGCCAAGTGCACATGCAGAAGTATAACCTGGGTCAGCTATCAAGCCCAGCTTACCCACAGCTGCTTAGAAGCCAGAAAGGTATGTTGGGGGGAGGAGGGAAGGGAGAAAAGCACCGTCTTTTCTTGAAAGTGCCATAAAACAGGATCCCTCAAATGTAAGCTGCCTCTGGTTAAGGCTGTGTTTTAAAATGCAGCACAGTGGGCTTGGGAATGTGAAAGAGATGGCAGCAAACATTGACACTGTGCAGCTGTAATGGAAAGTGATTCGAGTTCATGTCTAGCACTTAAATAGGTTGGGATGTTTATCCTGATCCATACGTGCTCAGGGAACTCTTAAGGAGTACTTCTGAACCAAAGCTTCATGTGCCTGTGAATGTGCCACACGTGGAGACACTGTACTCATTTTGATTTTAAAAAAATGGGGAAATTTAATCACGGTTCTGAAGAACAGAGCCTTTTCTTGAGTTGTCAAATTTCTTGTCATAAAATATGACAGCTGTATTTCCTGTATCCCCAAAGTCTCAGCCTAACAGAGGGACAGGGAGGTGATCGTCCCTCTCTATTCTGTCCTTGTGAGGCCCTGTCTGGAGTACTCGTACTGCGCCCAGGTCTGGGCCCCCCGCAGTACAAGGAAGACAGAGAGCTGTTAGAGAGGGTCCAGAGGAGAGGCACAAAGATGATCAGGGGACTGGAGCACCTCCCCTACGAAGACAGCCTGAAGGAGCTGGGCTTGTTCAGCCTGGAGAAAAGAAGGATGCGGGGTGACCTCATTGCAGCATTTCAATACCTAAAAGGAGTCTACAAAGAGGAGGGGAATCAACTCTTTGAAAGGGCTGATAACTGCAGGACAAGGGGAAATGGTTTTAAATTGAGGGAGGGAAGATTTAGGCTGGATGTCAGAGAAAAGTTTTTTACAGAGAGAGTGGTGAGGTGCTGGAACAGGCTGCCCAGAGAGGTTGTGGATGCCCCGTCCCTGGAGGTGTTCAAGGCCACTTTGTTGGATTGGGCCCTGGGCAGCCTGGTCTGGTATTAAATGTGGAGGTTGGTGGCCCTGCATGTGGCAGGGGGGTTGGAGATTCATGATCCTTGAGGTTCCTTCCAACCCAAGTGATTCTATGATGAACAGATGGCAGCAGAGGATAGTCTGTTTATTACGAGCAATGCACACAACTGTAAAGGACACAGAATCTGTGGCTCTGAGTTTGTGGGAGGTGTAAATACATGTGTGGATGGGGCAGCTCTGCTGGCCTTGTCACAGGAGAAAGGTATGTTATTTTCAGATAGCCCTCACAAACACTGAGTGCTTTCAGTGCCCTCTGCTGCATTTACTTTGAGAATTTCCTAAAAGTGCTCATTGAACTTATTGAAAAGAAAGCAGCAATTTGTACACCAGGACAGGTTGACAAAAAACCCATCTGCTGAAAGTGAACGCAGGTGATTTTTTGGAATGACTGTTAATGAGAGTTGTTTGTTTTTCCTTCGTAGTTCTCATCCGTTTCATAACCATGCTCGTTCTCAATATTTGGGTCACAGCCACAATCCTGCGCTACAGGAGAACTAAAAAGACTGATTAGAAGATGCTCATCACATACAACGTGAAAAGAAAAAAAGGGAAAAGGAAACTGATATGGATAAACAGCAGAAAAAAGCTGAGAAAAAGTTGAAAGGGGAGATTTAATCTGGATATAAAGGAAAAGGTGTTTTACCATCAGGGTGGTGAGGCACTGGCACAAGTCGCTCAGAGAGGTGGTGGATGCCCCATCCCTGGAGACACCCAAGGTCAGGCTGGAGGGGCTCTGAGCACCTGATGGAGCTGTGGGTGTCCCTGTTCATTGCAGGGAGTGGAACCAGATGGCTTTCAAGGCTTCTTTTCAACTCAGACGATTCTGATTCTATGAAGCTCTCTCTCTTAAGCCTAGTATTTGTCTCTAGAAAGATTTAGTGCAGTTCTGCTTAATTTCTCATAGAAATAATTCTGATAAGATACTTAATTTAGGCAGCATGCTTTTATTAGTTATTTGTGACAAGTTTCCCTGATACCACTTTTTCTCTGGATCTTTTTTAGTAAATGAACAAGGTATTTGTATTTAGACATGTGTATGTTCTCATATCACTTCAGTACTTTCTAGTTACATATTAGCAATTATTTTTTTCAGTTCTACAAATCATACAAGAGAACTTTGTGGCAGCATATCTGCTCTTCTGTCTACATCTGCTGCCAGTTTGAAAATGTTAGGTGCTTCTTTTTCTTGCAAGTAACTCAAATAGTCAGATGTTATGTACCTGCATTTTAGCATAGAGAAAATCTGAGTAAAGGCCAAATTCAGAATATATTTCTAAATGAGTTTAACAAAGTCAGGGATCCAGCTGAGACTGCAGCACTGCACGCAGCACTTGAGCAGTACATTCACACAGCTGATAAAGGATATCCACAGTCACTTCCGTACAGGCAGTTTTTATTATAAGAACAAAAACAACTGTGTTCTTCTTTCTCAACCTGAGCTCTCCATCACTGAACATACTGTTTTGGGAACAGCAGTAACTGGAAGGTACGGAGATTAATGAGACTTTGAGAGTTAATTCTGTTCCAAGAGAGGCTCCTGCAGTGATGCCCAGACTCCATATGCAATCTGTGCTGACTGTAGCCCATCTATGCACTGTGATTCATTGAAGCAAACCCGTCTACAGTGGTTATCAGGCTTTGATGATGCTACAATATGCTTTATTACTTTTTAACCTGTCCTGAAGAATTTATAGACTGAAGCTGAATTTTTACTGTGGAGATTCCAACCGGTTTTAGTAGGTATATTTAAAAAGGTGAAAAAGATGTTCTTAAAAAAACTTTTAGCAGGGGATTTTACTTTTGGAAGAGGTACTTTTCCAACCCGAAGTTAGAGCTGGTACCGTAGAGAAATACAATAACTACTCATTTCTCAGTGCATTCTCCAAAATGAGAAGATAAGCCTTTTCAGTACAGTCTTACAGTATTACTGCTGCATGCTGAAAACAAGGTGCTCATGATCTTGGCAGGCTTGCAAGCTATGGGAAGACTTGACTACATTTGAGTCAGGTTTTCCTTGTGACGTGCTGAATCACTGGGATGTTACAGAGCAGCGGGATCTGCAAAAAGCAGATCTTTCTGCCAGCAGTTGTTCAGCAAGCAGAGACCTTCGCTTTCTGAAACAAAGCTGCTTTATCAGCTCTGATAGGAGGGAGGAAAGCGGTCGAAAGAGGTATGTCTGTGGACATAGAATTTTTGGGTATCTCAAGTTACTGAGAGAAAATTAAAACATGAGGCTTTTTTACTGCTTCAGTAAAGAATGCTCAGAAGTTTCTATGTTGGTTGAGAGGGTAATTGTAAATATTCTACTGATTTTACTGAAGCTATCTGAAATGTCTAAATAATTTGGTGGCAAGTGGATGTAATACGTTTTCCAGATCCTATTAATAAATGCTGTTCTTCATGATTGATTAATGTCATTCTTGTAGTGAATTTTCATTGTGTTCAATGTTTTTATTCTGTGTCCTTTTACGAAAAGAGAATAAAATGTTCGTTATAGGTCATGAATGGGCAGCATTCACGTTAACGTTCAAAGCATCAGGCTGTACATAAGTCAACCTGTACAATGCAGAGAGGTCCAGTGCCTTACAGGAACAAAACACACATCTCTTATCTGTTTTTTAATCTGTTTTAATAGACAATGCTCTGTTTGGACTCAGAACTCTGTTATTGGTGTCTTTCAACCTCCTCAGTGACGCTGTAGGAAAATTGAGACCATTTCTGGTTTGATCATCACCACTTCACGTTTTTCCATCATAAAATGTTAGAAATGCATTTAAGATAAGTTCTTCAAAAGACACTTGATGTATGAGGATAAATCTTCTTAGAAACTTGTGGGAAACAAAGGAAAGAAACAGTTGGGTAAACGACGAGCTTCAGAAGAGTGATTCTGTGGACTTGGAAAGCTGGACCATGAGTTCTCAAGCCTTGTGGGATATGGAACAAGTCAGAAGGTGGTGGTGGTAATTGTATATACTTTTCTCTCTCTGTGTTTTGGTGTTTTTTACATAGCATACAAGCATAGATCCTGTGGCCTTCTATCTGTAATCCATAATCTTCTCAAGTAGCTGGATTAAAGGCAATAGCTTTAGACAAAAGAGATGGGGAGGATAAATCTTGTTAAACTTGTCACTCAGTGGTTATTGGGGTGGGTGCAAGCAAGTTGTTCACTGCACAGTGTAGCAGCTGGCCCAAAGCAAACAGGGAAAGCAGCTCAGGTGTGTTTATTGTTTGAAAGGCAGTGAGCAACTTCTGTCCGCAGGGGTGAAGGTAATTCTTCTCCATGTGCAGATCCTTTTGAAGTGCTCAATCACCCACACATCATCTGCTTGCATCAGGTGACAACATGTTCACAGGGTAAAGTCGCTTTCCCTGGCTTGGAAAGCGTGGGATCTACCAGGGCTTACAAGAAGCATGAGTTGTCTTGCCCACAACAATACTAAATTTGAATCTAGTACAGGCCAATGAAATTTGAGTGCAGTCCCAAGTCTCTCCAGCTGTGACTTTATGAACTGTGATTCTGTGTTAACTGTGCTTAAGTGATTAAGCTACAACATGCATTCAGCAACAAAGCTCTCTTTAGCAGTATGACAGAGAAAGCATTTATCATGAGCCCCATTGCCCAAAAGCAGAATGAGGACGTGACTGCAGAGAACAGGTTGCAATTCTAAAAGAAGGGATGTATCGACAGTGGAAGATGGGTATGGTTACTTTTCCTAAAAGCCTGTTTCTGAATTGTCATCAGTGATCACACATGCAAACCCAGGATTTCCCCTCCATAAGACTTAGCTTTCTGCATGGAGTAAGACCACACAGGCACAGATGTGTTTCTTTGCATTGCATTAATCCAACAAAAGATTTTATGGCTTTGAGCACTCAGCTCCCTGTCCTGGAACCTCTTCTGGTGGTTTATGCGTGTGTAGCTGCTTCTCAACCTGGTCCTGCCAATGCAATTCAATAAAAAGGAAGAAAGGAGCAGGCTGGTGGACAGGGAACAAAACAAACAAACAAAAAAACCTGACCACCTTCAAACCAAATGTTACTAAATTCTTGATTTCGGTCAGAATTTAATTTGCTTGAGTTTGAGCTTGATTTCTCAGAGATAAGGGCTGCTGAGGTCAGATAGGCTCCCAAGAGCCACAACAAACTGTTGTGCCAGTTCACCACGTGCTGGATGCTATTGCTGAGACCTCAGCATGGACAGAGCCGAGCCTTGACGGAGCTCAGCCTTTGCTGCTGATAGCAGACAGACACCTCCAGGACATCAACCAGTCCATCCTCCCTTGGTAGTGCTTTAGGGCAAGAATCCTTCTTGGAAAAGTTCTAAGCTTTGGATTGGAGGTAAAATACAGACATAATGATCTTATGTAATACTCTTGATGAAATTTAAGGGGATATCCTAAATAGAATTTAAATATTTGTCATAATTTTGTTCATGTCCTGTTTTTCTGTTGTTGAGGCTGGAATTTATCCAGCTCAGCAGAGCTAGCTTAGACTGTGAGTAGACTAAACAAGTGCTTCCTTATATTATGTGGTATTATTTATTCACAGGAAGAGCACTTGAACAGGGCTGAACTCTTGTTTTATCTGTCAAGCATTCTGGAAACAAAAGGGCAGAACCTACACTAGTCTCAGCGTGGCAAGAAGAACCAGCTAATAATGATTAAAATTGAATAGTAACATGGCTCCATGCTAAAAAAGCAATTTTACTTACCACCTTGTTGTAACTGGAAATCTTCACAAGCCCTCTTTGGGATGTAGACTATTCCTGCTTTTGGAGGCTTCAGTCAGCAGTACCAAAGGGCTGAGCTGTCTCACACCACACCAGAGGTGTAAATGGAAGAGCATGCTCCCTATGCCTCCGTGCCCTGTTGTGTAAATTACATGGTCAGGACTCTATTGAAGTATAAACTGAGCTTGTGCAAAGCATTTTTTATGTTACCCTCTTTCACCTTTGAGTGACTACATACAGATTCCACCATGTGAGAAGGCATTTCCATGTCGTTCCTCCCAGCAACCAAAAAAGGCCACGGGACACAGAATTGCTGCTCTCTGCCCTTTCTTTTCAGGGTGAAGATGCATCCTTCCAGAGTTCTTTAAGTATGCACGATTGCATACACTTAAGACTTCATAATTTTGCTCCCTTGTGCAGCAGTTCATTCACAGAGTCTTTCATTTTGAAAGATCACTTAAATCTCATGGTTTCTGTAAGATCAGTGGAGCAAGAGCAGTTCTGATCAGATCTGGCAGCACCCTTGCAATAGCAAGGTGCAATAGCAAGCATCAGGAAGTAATGTGCCTTTCTCACCCTGATCAAACACTACCTCCTGCCTACAAAGGGGTGAAGATTCTAAACCCCAAACTTTGTAGTAAGGCCTAGTCCTCACAGGCATCTTGGAGCTACAGTTTCTGGTGAGCTCTCATTCATTGCAGTAGTTCTGGAACAAATTACACCAGTAGTGTTCAGACAGTGTTCTTTTCTGCCACATACACCTCAGTAGGCTCGTGTGAGCATGTCTGGGTATATATCACCTGCTTCACAGGTAACTTTAACTAAGAGCATGAATTAGTGTCAGAACTGCTCTGTCAACATCTTTTAAACAGATTCAAATGAAAACTCCTTCCCACTCTTGTGAGAGGTATTTCAAAGTAATATGCAAACCCCTGTGGTCTATGGGACACTGATGATCCCTGAAGCAGCTTATAGTGTCACTGCAAGATTATATTACAAATGCTCACACTCCTAACGAACATCCAGAACTTCCTGAGAAACTAAACACAGAAAGCACACTGTGTCCAGCAGAAAGCGTGCTGGCCACGGTGATCCAAGAGAGCTGCTGAGTGCCTGCCAAACATCCAGCATCTTCAAGAGGAGGTAAAAGATCCAGACACTTGCAGTGAAACATCAGTGACTTTTTACATTTGCTGACTGTCAAAGTACTTCAGCTTCTGTGTTTCCAAATCCTTGGAAGAACTATGGTCTATATCGTGTTTTAGATTCAGCATCAGCCATGGTAAGAAGTGCAGGAAGTACTGAGTTCTGTTGCACGCATGCTTGGTGCTCGATCTGGCATCGCTGTAAGGGGCTGAGCTTTGGCACGAGCCACTGGAACTATAGAAGTGCAGCACACAACCAAGACAGACGTGGAAATCTACTTTCAGGAAGGCCTTTGTGACAGCTGACACACGCTGCTCAGATGCGATCTTCTTGTCCAGCTTCTGTGCTGATGAGCTCCTGGATGGAAACCAAACAGTGACTTCTCTGTGTATGTCTTGAGTTTCTGGCTCCCAGTTTGAGCCCTGATTTTTCCAGAAGGTTAATCTGCAGCTTGGCTGTATGCTTGGCTGTATCTGTATACTCTTGTGAAACAACAGGACTTGCAATAAGGTAATTTTCATAGATAAAATCAGCCAGGCCATAAAAACATCTTGTTTGCTGCAACAACCTTGTTACAAAAATAAACCGTATGAAACATCCAGTTCCTGATATCCTTCTCTCTCCAAAGTTCTAAATGATTCCTAGCAGACAATAGGAAGACATTGCAGCCTCCAGGAACTAATATTAATGGGGTCCTTTTCAGTCCACAGATCAGCAAAGGAAAGCTCTGACACGTGAGAGGGACAGAACTGCTCTGGCTTTTCTGTCCTGGGTACAAAAACAAGGCTGTTCACATCATACCATTGGCCAAATGACCTCCACACTACAGCTCAACATTGCCCACACAGTTTGTTTCTTTTGGGACACAACTGCATGTAGGAGAACTGAGGATGCTACAGTACTTTCATCCCTAGAAGCACGAGAAACCCAAAGAGACCAGGTCTTGAGGTCCCCCTTCTAAGGAGGACTTGCTTTGTGGGAGAGGTCCTACCAGCAGACCTGTGCTCCATTTCAGCCCCTATCATTCTACAATGGCTTCTCAATACAGCCTGCTGTACGTGTAGCTAGCAACTATTTCTGTAAGTACAGAATGTATAAACTGCAGCTAGTAAATACTGTATGACGTACAGATCCTAAAATAGCAGGCACGAGAGGGCTGCAAGGATTCACAACAGATGAGGGCAAGACACGCAGAGGAAGTGCAACAGATCCAACCTGGTACATGATGGGCTGCAAAGCAACTCCACAGAGTCTGCCCTTCTCCACACAGCCTCTGCTTGGCTTTGCCTTTCCCATATGTGCTGCAGTAGATGCCTATATGCTTCAATATTTCAATTAATTACCAGCTTGTCAAGTTCAGGTACTATTTTACCTTACTCAAATAGTTTATTTAAAAATATATATATAATATTCTCCAATTCAGAAAAGGATAGAACTTCCCACAACGTAACATTTTTTTATATATAAAATATTTATGCATTCAGTGAATGGAAACAGTTTTACTGTATACATTTTTAATGTTGTACTCTACGCAAATCTGCTTGACCTAAAAATATATCGTACTTCTGTAAATCCAAACAAGCAGGGAAAAAACACTGTAGCTGTGCGTTGGGTTATAATACCTAAAGAGAAATGATACGAAAGATTTAGGTCTGGATTTAAGAACCCACAAACAATGTTTTACTTTGCGAGTGCATAAATAGAAGACTGAATACATTCTGGCTCTGTTAAGCTGAACTGCAGTTACAAAATGCAAATATATTTATTCATTTTCAGTATTTCAGTGTTTCCAAGTCCACCATTCATGATAGTGTTAAATAAATCATGGTCCTATCCTTCCAAACATTTCAACACTCTTTAAAAAAAACAGAAACAAACAAACAAAATTTTAAAGTGAAATGTCCTCCTTCATTGAAGTGTTAGATCATATTTTAAATTACTGCACTCCCACACAATAGTTTATATATATATATATTTTAAATATATATATATATTTATATATATAAAGAGACCAAATAGGAGACTACATTTTTTACTGTCAATATGTTGAACATAGCATACTGCAGTTGTATAAAACATGCATTTTCTGGGATAATGATGAACGCATCATGAATGAGTCCACATAAACTCTATTTTTTGTACAACTCCCAAGTAAAAAAAAAAAAAAAAAAAAAAAGTCCAATTAAGTGCCTCTGAGGCCCTTTATTCCCAGCTATCAGTTCTCAAAACACACTACTGGAATATTCATCTATGCCTACAGCTATGTGCTAGAGAACCAGATTTAAAACTTTAAAATACATCTACAGTATGTATTACTTTTCTTTAAAGTTTGTGACACTTCTTGGGTGCTGTGCTGTGAAATGTAAAAAATAATCACAGATTCTCTCTTTTTTCTTCCAGAAATAAACACACATCTAGGAGAGTATGCAAAAACAAGGCAAAATGAAGTTTTCATAGCACTTAATGAGGGTTAATAATATAAGTCAATAACTATATTGAGGTTTGTAAGAAGGGCTGGATGAGCAGTTACATTTATAAGCACATGGTCTAGAAAGTCCATTCTTATCAGAAATTGTTTTTGTAACCAACACTTCTCCACCCTCAAAACCAGTCGATATACATTCAAAGTAAGTTGACATTGATATACCTACTAGTTGTAAAAATAGTGCACTATTTTTTCTGCCACAAAGCAAAATTGCATCCTAAGAGCTGGTAAACCTTTTTCCTTAAATACAGAGAATGGGCCAAAAAAACTCAAAAAAAAAAAAAAAATTAAATTAAGGCAATTAGACAGGTAAAACAGGACTGCCCATGATGACGCAGCTGAAACTAGCATATACTTTGAGCTAGCTGCTGAACACTGACATGCAGCTTTTGATAGACATGTATGAATGATATAAACTTCAACATTATGGCTTTATACAAGTGCATAGTTGCAACTGCAATAAGTAACGGTATCTGATTAATAAGCATAAAAAAATAAAGTGGAAAGATTTTTAAAACCCTCTTGCAGTATTACAGTACAATATATATACACAGTATAATGGTCACTTCTTACAGATGCAGTCTATATCACTATGATGGATCGTCCTCCTGTTCTCGCAGGCATGCTGGTGGCATCTTTATGAAAGCTGAAAAGTCACTTTCTTCAGTTTAAATATTCATTCCTCTCAATCCTTTTATGAAATGTAGTGTATATGTCTTGCTGAGAAAGCTTTTGTGGAACAGAATTTAAAAGGTTACCTATCATATCCTTTTACTATTTACCAGCCATTCCTCGTTTGATCAGTCACTCGGGGGAATACAGGAAAACCCTCAGAGATTAGTAATTTATATTGCAGCAAAAATGTAAACCTCTGATATATATAGCACAATCTCTCAGGAAAATATATATTTTTAATATATTTTGGGATATGTTTCAGTCTTGCTGTAACAGGAAGAAAATTATCACCTTGAGTTGCGTCTGCGTTCATGGAAAGCAGTTAGCTGGAAAAGAAGCAGAAAGTTTGGTCAGTACATACAGTGAATGAATGTGTGACAAGAACATATTTCCTCAGAATCCTCCTTTGAGATGACCTTATCAGTAAGCTTGGGAAAAAGTCGTTCCTTTGCATTCAACAGCATCATAGTACTTAAGTACAACCTTATGCATTATGAGCCCAAAACAATTAATCTCCCTTGTAATATACGAGGGTAAAGTCCAAGTACATTCACACTGTGTTTTTAAGGTAAGCCATGGGACAAATTAGATCAATAACACAGCTGCATCTTTTCTAAAGCAGTCAAAGAAACCGCACCACAGAAGCTGCAAAGCCTGTTTGTTTACATAGTTTTATAACGCATTGTTAGGTACCCAAAAAGCACAGCACTGCAAAGGAAAGCCAAGTCAAATTCACTTCATAACACAGGTAGAAAAAGCAAAATGCAAAAATGTGATTTCATGTCTGCTAGCCATGGACACATCAATTCAGGTTAAAAGCTTAAGAAAAAAATTATCTGTAAATAGCAATTGTATTTTAGGTAAATTCCAACTGTTACAACCTCCCTTTTAGCCTTCAGTAATTGTTTGCAGAGGTTAGCAGCATTAGCACTACAGATGAACTACTACTCTGACAACAAGAGATACTTTCTTTTGGGGCAGGCAGACATGAATTTTGAGCAAAGATCTAAAATTAGAGAAATAAGAACACTGAAAAGGCAAAAACACCATTTTAATGAAAATGACTCCTCTAAAAAAATTTGACACCACGAAACAGAATCTCATTTTTACTGTGTAAAATCTCAAAATGAGATCTTGTACTTTTCTCGGCTTTGAGAAACAAAATCCAACATAGCATGCTGTATTCAAAGGCAAACAAATCCATTCCTCACTATTTGGATTTACCCCTTATACTTCTTCAGAAATCAAAAACATCGTCATCATCATCATCATCATCAATATCATCAACATCATCAAATGACCAATCCCAGTCTTTAAATGCCAGATCAAGTAATCTGCAACAGGAGGGTTTGATGTTTAATGTGTGTCACGTTCCTACAAGAAGCTTCAAAATTCCATTTATTATCACTATAACTTTTAAAACAACTATTTTAACATTGATGGGCTCCTTGCTCTGCCTGCTATGGAGTATGAACATTCAATTGTTGTTCGGGGAGCCACAAATACTGTATTCAAAGGAGATTAATCACACAAACAATTAAATTCTACAGAACACTTACCGGATTGCTTGTTCTCCCCCAAAATTTCAGTAGGAAAGACTAACGCATACATTTCATAAAATTAGCTTTCTGTTTTGCTGCAGTTTTGTTGATCAACATACAGCTTTATGCTCACCCACCTTTCAGGTCTATGTCTTTTTAATAAAACTGAGTAATCTGGTTGTTGAATAGAACACCGAATAAAAGTGTCACTGAGCTCACAAATACAGTGGGATTTTGCCATTTATCCTAAATACAGTGAGATCACCCTAGACAGATGTCCTATAGCCTCATTATTTTTACTTAGGCTATGCCAAAAAAGAGGATGTATCAACTTGTTCTCTATGCATCACTGCCCATGCTCATACAGAATGGAGAGCATATTTCAGCAAATGAGTCATTTCACCTATTTTAGGCACTTATGCTGGGATGGGATGAATCATTGTCTAGAGGCATTCATCTTTCTGCTACTATAGAAGGATTTCAGATGAACATCTGAAGTACTAACTTCTTAATGTACAGGAAATGAAACTCAATTTGGTTATTTTTCCAGTGAACTCAGGATTGAAGTCAGGATTACATGCCACCTATATGAGGCAGAGATAGAAACTCTAAAGAAAAAAGCTTTAGGATATTATAAATACAACATGCTACAGTGTTTAGTTCAGTTAATTGCATCCTTTAAACAAAGCAGATTTCAGGTTTCATTGGATTTTCAGTTTTTAAAGTTGTTACACTTATATTAAACTTCCAAACGTCAGCCCAGGCCCTCTAGGGTTTTTTGTAGTTAGGTCTTGAAAAACTCCAACACCTCTCTGTGGCCTTCCAGTACTTCAAGGGAAGTCATAAACAGGAGGGAGAATGACTTTTCACATGGTCTGACTGTGATAGGGCTAGGGGGAACAGGGGAGATTTAGGTTAGATGTTAGGAGAAAATTCTTTGCTCAGAGGGCAGTGAGGCCCTGGCACAGCTGCCCAGAGAGCTGTGGGTGCCCCATCCCCACAGGCACTCAAGGGTGGGTTGGGTGGGCCCTGGGCAGCCTGAACTGATGGGGGCAGCCAGGCTATGGCAGGGGTTGGATGGGTGGGCTGTGAGGTCCCTTCTAACCCAAGCCATTCTATCATAAGGCTGGAACCCATCCAGCCCCAATAGCCATCTCTCTCAGAATGGCCAGGGTTTGAAGGGACCTCAAGGATCATGAATCTCCAACCCCCTGCCACATGCAGGGCTACCAACCTCCGCATTTAATACCAGACCAGGCTGCCCAGGGCCCCATCCAACCTGGCCTTGAACACCTCCAGGGACAGAGCATCCACAATGTTTCTGGGCAGCCTGTTCCAGCACCTCGCCACTCTCTCTGTAAAGAACTTCCCCCTGACATCCAACCTAAATCTTTCCTCCTTCAATTTAAAACCATTTCCCCTTGTCCTGCAGTTATCAGCCCTTTCAAAGAGTTGATTCCCCTCCTGCTTGTAGGCTCCCTTTAGGTACTGAAAGGCTGCAATGAGGTCACCCCGCAGCCTTCTTTTCTCCAGGCTGAACAAGCCCAGCTCCCTCCTCCTTTGTAGGAGAGGTGCTCCAGTCCCCTGATCATCTTTGTGCCTCTCCTCTGGACCCTCTCCAACAGCTCTCTGTCTTTCTTGTACTGGAAGCTCCAGACATGGACACAATACTCCAGATGGGGCCTCACAAGAGCAGAACAGAGGGGGACAATCATCTCCCTGTCCCTGCTGGCCACCCTTCTTCTGATGGAGCCCAGGATACTACTTGCCTTCCGAGCTGCAAGGGCACACTGCTGGCTCATGTTAAGCCTTTAACATGAGCTTTTAACATCTCTCTCCCTGACTGTCCTCACTGGGAAAAAGCTTTTGCTTGTCTCCAGCTGGAATCTCTCCAAAGGCCTACTAGGCTTCCCAGAGCCAGCTCTCATCCAGGCTGAGCAAGCCCAGCTTACCCACCTTCTCTTCACAGGGTAGGTACTCCAGCCTTGACCATTCTGGTGGTGTCTGCTGGACTTTCCACAGTTGGTAAAAGTTAAGGATATCTGCAGCAGTATCTCACCACATACTACAGGAGAACAGAGGGGTGATATCTCTTCCCTCAATCTGTTGCTCACCTCCAGCATGTCCCCAGCCACTCATTTAACTGGCAACAAGGTTTTCATTCTCAGTAATCTTCATAATGGAAAATGGAAAACTCATGGAAGCTCCAGTCAGGTGTTAATTGGTTATAGCACCAACAGTGATTTTTAGGTACGTGGTTTGTAATTAAAAATATTTACATCCATACAAATTTCCACAGGTTTGACAAACCTGCACTAAGGCTAGATGACCTCATGGAATTAGAATTTTCCACCTGTAACTTCTAAGCTGCCAGGTACATTTGAAAAGATAACTTGAAAAGTTTAACTACATCCACAAAATTGTTACACATCAATGTATCCATCCTCCTCCTTCCCCCATCACCATGAAATATGAACTATACAGATAGAAAAATATATGGATAGAAGGAAATGAAGAAAAAAAACAATCACCAGCTGAATGGAGGAGGATCACAATAAAAACAAGGGGAAGACTAGGTACTGTTATGAAAGCATTTAGTAAAACAAACATCATGAAGATAGAAATAAGGATGGTGTAACAAGAAAAAATTCTTTCTGAGCAATTAAGGATAGCTTTGGAAAAAGAATCAGAATTTATTAAATGCCTTTTGTACGTCAATAATAAGAAACAGAATAATGCTAACCAACCAGAATGTAGAAATACAGAAGCCTAGTTTTACTTGTCCTCCAGTCTGCATGAATAATGTTTCACTGATTTACGATTCAATCCAGTTACTGCTATTCTGGCTAGTTTTACACTAAGAATCCCTTCAATAACCATTCCCTAAAAAGGAATAATTATATTTTTCACTTTCATGGATAGAATAATAATAAAAAAAAAACTTATATAAGGTCAGACTTTCTTTTTAAGTGTGTGAAGTAAATTATCAAAGATCTGATAACACGGAAATTAGGAGGGAAGTTACATTGCTTTGAGTGCTCTCACTATGCATTACCATACATTAAATTTTCCTTCACTTTTTTTTTAATATCCCAGTCTTCCCACATAAGCTGTTTTGTGATTACAATAGCATCACAATAGAATAGAGCATGCTTACACTGCATTCCCCATTGTAATTCTGGTGACTCACCCAACCCTGTTTTCAAGCAGCCAGCTCAGATATTCATGATAGTCTGACCACAGAAACAAAACCAAAACTATCACTCCAAAGGTGCAAAGGTGAAAAATAATAACAATAATAAAAAATAAGCCTTTGTTGAACTGTCCATTGCTGCTGTTATATGGCAACAAAGAAAAGAAAGGGAGATAGGTCAAAATTTACACAGGGTGTCAAAAACTGGAGATTAATACAATCAGGTATTAACTTCATAACCTTAACTGTTCTTTCCTCTTTAACAAACCCAGCAGTATTCTAGGTGATGAAAACAGCAAACTGAAAAAGTCCAGAATACTGCACAATCACTTAAATGCTACCTGCTAAAAGTTAACACTTCTATGGCTATAGCATAGGATTTTGCTTCTTGAAACCAATCCAATAATAGGAAACTGTTTTTTATAAACATTTATTTCCCACATGAGAGGAACATGACGATAAGACTACTCTTTTAGGAAACATGAGACATGAGCATTTCTGGGCTGAGTAAGGAGCTGAAATCAACTTTCCCACCCTTTGGCAAGTGTTTTAGCTATTTGACTAAATGGTGACCATCACTTCATGCCTACTTGCTCTCTTTCAAAAAGAATGAGTGACACTCAGACGGATGTCTACCAGTGCAGAAAATGGCACCTGCATGGCCATAGATGCAAGAGAGAGATTCATCTGAATAACCTTTTGCTGTACATGTTGAAGAGCACTCTATGCTCCCTTTCTACTTTCTACTTTTTATTAGGATAACACAAATTCAATCTTACAAACAACTCTTCCAATATATGACTCTGTAAGCAGAGTTAGATATAGATACATACATTTGGTCAGATGAATCACACTCTAACACAAAAATCCTCAGTGATGTTTCTAACATTAGAGTGGGGCAGGAATTCAAACACATTCCTCCAAACCACCCAGCAAGAAAGAAAAGACATGCATTCTTTTGCTATGTGTAAGCTCTTCTAGATTGCCTTTTGAAGGCGCCCGGTTCTCTCCAAGGTTCATTAGAATGACAAGTACTTAATGTCATAGCTTAACTTTTAATCAGGTACAGTTTTGTTTCCTTAAGAACCTCACAACCCTCTAAATGACTCTTCATATATCTAAGCCTCATTTTCCCTACCAGTTTCTAGTTCACAGGAACAGTAGTAATATATGTTATCAGTAATGGTAGGCTAAATAACAGATAGTGCAATGTCCTTTGAATGAGTAAACAAACATAATGATGTTTCTTATTACTTAAATGAGGTTTACAGAAGATGACATACTAGATTACATATCAGTGGTTGCCAACATTGTTGTCAACTACTGATATCAAGATATATCACATTAATTACAGTAAGATGTTTTGAACAATAAAATACATAGCAGCTCTTGTGTTACCTTGGTTTGTTTGGAGGAAGCTGTCGACTTGGTCGTCTGATGGACTGGTTTGGCTGTACCTTCATAGAAGTTCTGGGAGAAGATCTAGCAAAGGGGTCTGGTGCTGGAGGTTTCTTGGGTATTTTTTTCACCAGGCGGCTCACCCATTTTTGCTGTTCTTCTGTAGAATTAGCTAACAGTAGTAGATTCTTCGCCGTTGAAATATCATAATACACTGTAGTAAGAGTTTTTCAAATAAAAATTAATATTGTTATTTTTCTAAACATGTCCCCCACATCAAAAATTTCACTAAATATCATCCATTTCCTAAAACTCACTATCGCTTCACTCAGCAATGCTGCACAACAGTGTAAGCAGTCTTACAACAACCGTGCTCTACTATGCTTTCCTGTGTGATGCTGACAACATAGCAGGTATGAACCTATCCACACATATGGCGTTCACTCACAACAGTGAGCTGATCCTCTTGTAGATACCTTCAGAAAATTTGACAGCTACATACCCACTGAAGAAAAACCTACCTGTTTAAGTTTAGTTGGTGTCATAGACTAGGATCCTGTGATCCATTAGCATGCCTTGCGACTCCAACAACTATACACATATTCAAATATCTCCTAATTACCTTTGCAAGGTGCTATAATCTCTTCTTTTTTATCCATATGATCTTTGTGACATTTGATATGGCAACGGCGACATTCTAGAGCAGGAGGAGGTTTAAACATATGCCAAAGAGGCTTCATACAAGCTTCACAATTGGTTGGAAAGTGATAAAGAGTAGGTATAAACTCATGTCCTTTGTGACAAATATAATTTGACTTCTCTCCCATAGGCTCCACAGGAAATTCCTGCTCCTTTTTGCTCTCTCCTTCATTAGCATATAGAATCTAGAATTAAAGCAAAATAATCTCAGTACTCCTTTATGACAAACACATATTCAGAATAATTCCTGAATTACAAAAATCGAAGAATAACACTGGAATGAATATTTTCAACAATTTTGTAGTAAAAGCTTCAATTAGACAAAGTTAGGGAAATATTTTTGAAAATATGATATGTGATGTTTGTTACACTTTAAACAATAATTTATTATTGAATACCTGGAATATCCTTGGAATTTCCTTGGCATCTGCTCTGTACACATCAGTCTGGGTGACTGGTCGGACATGGAATAGTTTGCTGTAAGAAATTATTTCAATAAAGACAAAAATTAATTTTATCAATATACAATCAATAATCCTGTCTTTCAGTCCTGCACATGGATTTCCAAGCCCTAAATAAACACAAGTCACAAATATATAGCTGTATTTATGAAAAAAATGATAGCAATAAAAAGCTGACTTTAGTGATTGCTGGGAGCTTTCTAACACAATCCTCTGTTCAGACTCCAACCTTCAAATAGCCAAAATCTGTATTTGTTAAGGAAATAAATTAATTATATAATCCACTTATAAGCATGCGTTGTAGTGAAAATGTACAAACACTGAAAACTATAGCCTCTCAGCTACAGATTTCCTAACATTTCTTGCTACACTGTGTGTGTGAGATACGTCTAGCTCAGCTGGTAGAAGCAGTTCCCTTATGCCAGTTCAGCGCTCTGTGTTGGCTAACAGACATCTAAACAGAGCTAACTACAAAAGTACACTCCAATTGGCACTGTGATAGACCACATCTTTCTAAAAGGCCTTTCTGACAAAGTCCACCTGCAAATCAGAAGAAGCAATCTTGCGTGATAATACTCACTCTATGTCTAATACCATATAGGGATTGGATTGTTCTTTATCTTGTTCGCTGTCATAGAACAGGATCTTCTTACTGCTTACAATTACATACTGTTAGGAGGCAAAAAAGGATAAAATGCACATTATAATCCAACTGATCACATTGAAGATGTCACAGCAATATTTTTCTACGGTATTATTAAATGGTAACTAAAAGTGTAATAGTAGTACTGTATCTTGACTCCATACTTTGTCAGTAAATTCACTGCACTATGAAATTTTACTAGCTGATGCATTAGTTTATATTGTCATATTAGTTGGTACTTAAATGTAAGCATCTGTGAGGAGATCAAAATGAAAGTAAGGGAGAGATTAACTCAAAAACTTTTAGTTTCTAATTTACAGACTTAATTTTCTCTCAGAGCAACAATAATTATCCTCTTAGGATGCTTATTTTACACTTGCGGCTCACAACTAATAGGCATCAGACTCACAAAGATCAGAAAATCAGGTACCCATAAGACCTCAAATTTCTAGAACTTTATGCAGAATGAACTGAGCAAACTGATATAAAACTGCATAGGTTACTCTTTGGGTTAAGACCACCAAAGAGGCTACTGAAGCAATCAGCAAGTGAGGGTTGCACAGAGCAGATGCACAGTCGTTAGTTTTCTCCCTTAAACAAAGTATTTGTGAAAAGCGTGTTTCCAGTCTATAATGAGTTCTAGCTACATGATGCTGTTGAGAACATACAAATGTCTGAAGACTGTAAGCAGCTGTTTTCAACTCTGGCAGGACAAAAAAAATGCCTTAACAGAATTACAGGTTCAGAGAATGGCTTAGGTTGGAAAGGACTTCTGAAGTTCATCTGGTCCAATTCCTGTAACTCTCAGACACAGCTGTATAAGCTACTATACTTTTTATGCTTTTATGCTATACATTTAAGTAATTACATGAATATGTATTGAAGAATGTGAAAGTGCTGAAAATCTGCAGTGAAAATAAAATCCAAACTACACATGAAACAAGAAGAGATTTTAAAAAGAAAATTGTTGTATTATTATTGTTTACCTTTTTAACCCAACCAAATTTTTTAGTGTTATTTCGAACAGGTAGTGATAACCAGCCTTCCAATCTTGATTCTGGAAGAAAAACAAAACAAAGCTAAACAAAACATACAATGAAGAACATAAGTATTCACAAAACATTCTTTTTGACACTACTGTGCATTTAAAAATATGTACTGAAGATCAGTAAAAAAGTAACAGAGCAAAGCTGAGAACATATGACATCTTGCAAAATTTATCATAGTAAATTGTCAGAAATCAATTAGTGTATTCCCCCATACAGCAATAACAAACAATGTGATTACAATAAACTAGTAGGTATGAGGAAGAAGAGGAAGAGAAAACTTGCAGTAATACCACACGCATTCCCTTAATCATTATTATTGTTATTTCTAAAGACTTTTTAAAAAGTCTATCAACCTTTAAGACTTAGAAGAATGTTTTCTAAAGATATTAGTAGACCACACAACATTCAATTGTATATAAAAGACAAAACAGAGCAAAGTACCACCACCAATAAATCTATATCCTCTCTACTCGGGGTAAAAATTCAAAAGTTTTATATTCTAATTCTTATCTTTTTTTTGCACTATGAATTTCTCCATATTTCTAATTCTGCCTAAATCTCCTAGAATTTCTATTCCAGAGTAAGTAATTTTGGCTAAGCCCTAAATTACTTGCCTAAATTCAACTGCCTTTTCATACACTTGTGATGTTTAATACTACACCATCACAACAGTCAGATGCCCCATCCTGGAGGCATTCAAGGCCAGGCTGGGTGTGGCTCTGGGCAGCCTGGTCTGGTGGTTGGCGACCCTGCACATAGCAGGGGGGCTGAAACTAGGTGATCATTGTGGTCCTTTTCAACCCAGGTCATCCTGTGATTATATATTCTATGATACGATATGATTCTATGACATCTATCTACATCATTAACCCCTCAACTGTTGTTTGATGTACACATAGCAGTAGTATCCAAAAGCCTGCCAGGATCAAACTTCCCATGTGCTTGGTAACACGTAGAATCTTGTAGTCTTTGATACTATTTTTCACAGTACCCCTGTATATAAAAGTTTCTATCCAGTATGGGAAGGAATTTTCCCCTTCCCTCTCAGAGTTAAAAATTCTGAAGCAATTAATATTAACAACCATTAAACCATTACAGGACATGCCCCACAACTGCAAAAGCTATTTTCTTTCTCAAGAGATGGCAATGGCAGACTTGTGCCCACATTTAATGTAGGTTAACAAACAACGATTAGATATTTGTATAATTTCTGTTATTTCTACAGAGACTTGATGAATATTCCAAAATTTTCAGAGTATGTTTGTAAGCACCAGGAGGAAATAAAACCCCACAACATCCTATCTCCAATCTGCTGTTAGAAAATAGTCCTAGTTTAGACATGATTGTACTTCAGAACAAAACAAAACCATGCACATACCACAGCTACAGCTAACAAGGAAAAATTATATAAATACTTAGTGATTCTTTTAGCAGAGAATGAAATAGGCAGAAGCATTATGCTTTACTCTATTTTGAGGAAATAATGTCAGTACTCCAAAATAAGTTCTGCCTTTGATTCAAAGACATTCACAATTTAGAAGTGCCCCATGTAAAATACAGAAATATGAATGCAATTAGAAAATCTCATCTCTGACAGTAACACTAGGCAGAAATGTTATTCAAGACAATGTAGTCATATAGAAAGAGTACAGAACAAATAAAATAAAGTTCTGCTTTACCATATAATTTCATTATATTCTTTATGCATCAGGAAAAACAAATTTAAATAAATTTTACTTGCCTTACCAAAAAAGAATTGAATAGAAGATTCAATGTAAGGGAAAAAAAAAAGTTAACATTCAGAAGACTGAATTTCTATGACCAAGCAATGTATATTTAGAGTGTGAGGGCTGACATATCTCAACACTTCACTGAAACACAAAGATTTGACTTTCTGGTGTCTTAGGGTCATGCAGATAGCTGTACATACTTGGCAGAGTCTTCCTTAAGATCAAGACAATAAGGAATAAGGATTTATTCAATGCTTTAATAAAAATGGTGTTTTATAAATGGCAATGAGCATCTATAAACATTTAGATGAAACAAGCCAATTATTTCATGTAAATTTTTCATGTAATTACATTGCTTACTGCCATTTTTTTAAAGTTATGTATTAGTAAATGTTAGTTTTGAAATAGAAAAAAGAGAGCAATAAAGACAACACCGAGCACATCTCAGGGATGTCACCTGTGCTATCAACTTCTGTAGGACTGTGAGAACAAGACAAAGGTTCTTCTTCTGAGTCAGAATCAGAATCGAGAAGCATGCGAGAACTGGAAGGCTTAGTGGCAATACTGACAGAGGTGGAAGAGTGCTTGTAGGTAAAAGACATGGATTCCATAGTGTGGGATTGAGTGATATGGACTAAACATAAAGAATAAAGGAGGAAAAAGGTAGAAAAGAAGTCAAAACAGAATCCCTAAAAAGAGTATTAGTTTTACATTTAATCACTTAACATAATAATTGCAAATAGACCAGTATAATACAGGTGAAAAAAGGATTAGTCTCAGTGTCAGACAATACCATTTTTTAAAGAAACGTCTTTAAATAAATTTAAGAATGAAGTATGATTACTGATAGAAGTAGTTAGTGCATGGATAGTGAACTCTATCAAAGCATTGATCAGTGACAGAAACACATTAAGATAAAAAAACCCAGAAATATCAAATACATCAGTTTCCATGGTAAAACAGATTAAAAAAAACAATTCAAGTAGAAATATTAATATGAATAACATACCAGGGAATCCATCATCTGCCTCAGCATCTCCAGGTCCGCTGCCTATGCTACTGTTGTCTAGACCAATGTGTAATGACTGTAGTTGTGACCGAAGCTGTTCAATGTCACTGTCTTTGCTGTCCAGAGTCATCTGGAGTTCAATTCGTATCTGACTTTCTTCTGCTATTTGCTGTAAGGATAAAAGTAAAGGTTTCCTATTGTCACGATATTCAGCTACTCAAAGAAAATGTGAATATAAAATTATGAAGGCTTTGCAGTCAGTCTCAATATATGTGCTGCATCTTTCTTTCAATGGAGGAAATTCAGGAATAGAGACTCTATACACTACCTTAAAAGACCGAACGATTTCACTAAGTATTACAGAAAATGTTATCAATGTTTATACTTGTTAAGAGGATCTTACTGCCTGCATTTCATTGATTTCTTTCTGATACTTGATCATCATTTGTGTTAACTTCTCTCGTTCAGATTTCAGCTCCATATGCAGTTTCCTGTTTTCCTTTTCCTTCCGCCGTACATCGGTGTCAGCTCCACGTTTGACTGGACCCTTCCGATTCATGATCTCAGCCAATTTATTCACAGCCTTCCCAAGGAGGAAACAGAAGGAAAAAACAAACAAATAAATACAGAGCTATGCTGCAAAGAAATAGTCTTCTCCACTACCTGCGGTCAAGCATTTTTAATCTGTGAACTAAGATCTCTGCATATCTGGTAGTAGAAAGTTACTTGCATTAATCAAAACTGAATAAAGATAATGCTGCCATTTTCACTTTAAACAAATGTTTTTTTAGAAGACCTCTACTCATTTAAATGTTCTTCAGTTTCAATTAGCTAGTGGATTAAAATGCCACTTACTGTTAAAATTAGAATGACCATTTTATGGTAATTACAGAGGAACGTAAATCAAGTGAAAAATTCATTTGACAGAAATCAAGACTTATGTTGGTGGACTGCATGGAGATTAGGACTTTCTCTGCAATAATTGATGAGGATGCAGTTTCACTACACTGAAAGTCTACTTAGCAGAGGCAAAAAAAGAAAAATTTGACATATTTTATTTCATCAGGGAAAGAATGAAGTGTTAAGTTTTTTATTAAAAATATGAACACTTCATTATTAAATCATGGACACTTATCTCTTCAGATATATTCGCTTACCTGGGTTTTCAGTGTTCTTTCATTCAACAGTTGTTTCTCAAACTGTGCTTTAATATTTCCTATATTTGCTTCTTCTTCTTTTAATTTTGCAATTTCTGTAACAAGGTAATTTAAACAAACAAAAAGATATAAATCAAAGCACGTTACAAAAGAAAACAGTATTTTTAGAAACAAAACTAGAGGCATAATGAATTGTATTTGGTTCAGGGAATACTTACGTTCTTGTTCCTCCTTCAGTTTATTGTTTAGTTCTTCTTTCTCATTAGCAAGATTAGCCACATCGCTTGTTAGTGTTCTATTTGCTTCCTCCAACTACAAACAAAAAGTACATGTGACCATGTATCTAAAAACAAATGACATATGAAAACACTACAGCATAGAAGGAAATGCTTCAGACAGAAAGCAGAACAAGTATAAGATGACTAGCACAGGGGCACAGAAGAGATACAGGGAAGAAACAGGGTACAATATATATTTTTAACTAGTTAATTCAAAGAAAATAAATAGTTTTAAATGCATAACACATTTAAGTATGCTAAGCAACAATGGATAACTCAAACTGCAAATGAAACTGATGCTCTCATATACCCCTACCAAAATAATGATGTATATTACTCACAGAGGCTATAGTGGCATCCTTCTCAGTAAGCTCCTGTTTATGCCGAGCCATCATTTCTTTAATCTCCAGTTCTTTCATAATCTTCTCTTTTTCCAAATCGGAGTACTGTTCTTCAGCAATGGAACGTGCAAGTTGTTCTGAATCTGCTTTTGTCAAAGTGATTTCTAGCTGTGCTGCCAAGGAATCTCTGCAAATTATTGATACATATTGTTAACTCAAAAAATGGGAGGTTACTTAAAACAAAATAAACAACAAAGCAAAACAAAATAAACCACCAAACCCCACCTGTACAAAAATAAGAGAAGGCTATCCTGAGTTATATATTAACAGTACAACCAGTACCTCTCATCTTGTAACTCTTGTATCTTTTGCTGCATCTCTTTACAAAGTTTGGTCTTTTCCTCACATTCTTCCTTAAGTTCTCGAACTTGTGTCTTATAAAGAGTCTAGAATTTGAAGTAAAAAAGAAAAGGATGTGACTTACATAATCTGGCTTGAAGGTACACAAACATTGATACAAGATGACATGGTGTGCTGTTCTTTAACCATATGCTCCTTCCAAAGCTTCCTCTATATTTAAGTGAAAGTCATCGAAGGTCATGATTTCCAAATATTATTTGCTTTATTTTTTGTTGTTTTGTTGCTTTTTGCTTGGTGTTCCCTTGATTTTTTTGAACAACAAAATAAACCCACTTTCCT